CTCGCAAAAAAAATGTATTTAATTTTTTAAAGCTATTGGAACGCGAATCCATTGCCCAAGAAATTAACTGCACGCGCTGTGAGCGTGCACTCATCCCAACAATTTTAGAAGAAATAAAATTATATAAATAACCGATAACAAAATTGCACGAGTAATTGATCGGAAGAGCGGCTGTCATCAACACGCTGGGGAAACCAAGACTCGCTTATAATTTGCGAAACTTTGAGAGGAGTCTATTTTTTCCAGTTTTGAAAAGTTTTGTATATTTCATTTGGTTCTCTTCCAATATTTTCGTTTCAGTCGACATTTTCAGCTCCGTATATCAAGAGATGGTCAATTTACCCAAAAATCCACGCATTAACATTGCGAAGAGGCTGTCCTTATAAGCTTCGCCTGGTTAAACGTTAATTTACATTTTTCTTCAATGCGCTGAATCTCAATCTTCACTACTGAACGAATGTTACCTGTGATTTCATTCCTCATTCACGCTATTTTTTCTCGTTTTATTTAAGTTTTTTATCGACATTGCAAAAAAACACGAAATTTTCAAATCAAATTAAAAAATAATCATGTCGAATACTTGAATCATTATTCGAATTTAAGCAATTAAACAGGTTCTCTGGAATTTGATACAAAATGAATTACTGGAACTATTTGTCCGCTCTTGATCAAATCTCAACTCTGTCAACTTTCAACCATCCAGGAATTATTTAATTTCCATCCGTCTAAATTATATCACCTTATGCGGATTTTTTCTAACTTTTAGAAACATTACCTTTTCTTATACTGATAATTCATCAAATGCACAACATAACTTCATGTTAAATGATATTAATTGCAAATATTCACTTAATAGATGAGCGGAGAAAATTACCTGGACCCTCAGCTGCTATCTTTCGCCTACCAGCAAAAACGCGTCGTGAATCTTGGGGGTCGTTTTCGCCAGGGTCGGTTTTTCCGGTCCCGTCAACATACAAGACCCCAGATTATATATTCAAGAAGGAAAATAAAACATCCCGAAGAATTTTATTATCATTTGAATTTTATTATCGTTGTTTGCGGATTGAGTATCATTTGCGAGATAAGTATAATTCGCGAAATAAGTTTCGTTTGCAGGTTATCATTTGCGAGATAAGCATCATTTACGAGATAAGTTTCATCTGAGAGATAAGTATCATTTGCGGGTTGAGCATCATTTACGAGATAAGTAACGGATATGATCGATGGATAAGAAAGGTGGATAAGAAATCGATGTTATATATAGGTGCAAAGTCGGTGATTACGATGTTAGCCGGTGATTAGCTCAAAATGGTAAGGAGATTCAGACTGGACCGAAATCCGACAATATATTTAAAACTCAAGCAGTGAAATTAAAAAGGTAAGTAATTACAGTTTAAATTTAAATTACAGTAATTACGGTTTATATTTAAATCCTACTTTACTTTTATTTTTGTTGACGTCATTGCACTGTGACTATAAGTTTTTCATTGAATTTATCGACTTCATAAGTGCACGTTCAGTTTCTACATTGTATTTAACTAGTAAAACTGTGTTATATTTTGTTGTTCTCACTAGCCTATTCTTGAAAAAAAAAACATTACTGAAACCTGGGAATGTTACGAGCTTAACGTTCATAAAGATCTAAAACCTAGATTTAACGAATGATTGGTAAACATGATTTTTAACAAATGATTATGTATGTAACTATTATCCAATACCACGAAGCTGACAATATGTGAGAGGGAAAACTCTCGTATTAAATTATAATAAATTTGTTCATGCAACTCAAATACCAACAGTAATTTAAACAGAACTTGGAGGTTACCTAAGCTACGTAGTGATCAGGCTTTGAATTAAGAGTGTAATATAATACAATGAGTAACATTATTAAAGTTAATCTGATATCGGTACACGTGATAAAGTTCAGCAGTCGTGTGCAGGGCCTATAATTTCAAAAAAAGTTAAAAGATCGTAAGTTCATCAGCCAATCAATGACGGCCTTTCAAGCACAATCCACCAATCATAGACAAGAAAATAGAGCGTAAGTACTTACGTTGACTTAGCGAGTTTTGAAAGTATGGCCCCTGGTCTCATATTAGTGCGCTGGTGCCACGAAGCTGTGCAGAAAACTACACCAAGTCTGAAATATTGTGTGATATTGGCGAGCAGGCTGCACAAGGAGAGCGGGTTGTTCTCTATTACATCCCTTGCTTAATATGAAATATTTTTTAATATCGTAACTTTTATGTCATACGCCAAATTTGCTTTTATAAGTTCGTTCTTTTATTTCCTGGAAATTAAAAATTTAATTTTGTATAGCTTACCTATACCTAAATTTTATGCGCTGTAAAAAATTCACATTCACTAGTTGTAGAGCATGGAGACTCCAAATCAGGAAGTTTTTTTAGGCATGAGTTAGAGTTTATACTAGGTACATACGTTCACTGGTTGTAGAATGTAGATGTTGAGACTTCGAATCAGGAAATATGTAATGAGATTAAATTCAAGCTACTAAGTTACGTTCACTAGTTACAGATTATTGTAACTTAGAATCCGAAAGCGTTCAACGTCACTAAGTTCGATCTAAAAAGTTACGTTCACTAGTTACAGATCATTATAACTTAGAATCAGAAAGTGTTTCGAACTTCACTAAGTTTGAGCTACTAAGTTACGTTCACTAGTAACAGACCATCATAACTTAGAATCAGAAAATGTTTTGAACTTCAATAAGTTCGAGCTACTAAGTTATGTTCACTAGTCATAGGTCATTGAAACTTAGAATCCGAAAGTGTTTAACGCCACTAAGTTCGGGTCACTAAGTTACGTTCACTAGTCAGAGATCATTGAAACTTAGAATCCGAAAGTATTTAACGTCACTAAGTTCGAGTCACTAAGTTACGCAAGTCCATGTCATTGTTTATTCAGGAACGATCGCTCCCCGCCAGGTCGGTGCTTTACCAGCAAATTAGATTGCCTTGACGGGATCGGCCGACGATAATCGACTTAGGCTCAATTTTCAGCCTCGGCGTGTCAGTTTTACCTCCACACTTCTAAAGGAATATTTCTTTTCTACAGTAAATACTGTTTTTAATGTGTAATTACGAATAATGTATGCTTGATGGTGGATGTTTTAAAATTTTGTGGTGAGTGTTTTCAGGATCTTTCATATTTCATTCAATGACTCGTCAATAAAAACACATCTAGTCATCAGTACCTGTATCTTTCAGTAATATTTCTGCTCCATGGAGAAAATTTTCGCAAATTTTATTCCTTTGTTTTAATACAGTAGCTAAATAACGCCTCGAAATGTTTTCCCAAGTAATAACATAGCAAAGCGTCAGCGCTAACACATTTTATAGGGAAAAACTATGTTCAGACTTGTGTTTAACAAATCGTGCGTAGTTCACAAGACATTCTTATGAATAATCTTCTCGAATTCTTGAAGCGACTATTACACTAATTAGTATCCAGTATAATAGTATATGATACAACAGTATAGGCTATAACGATATACAGTATAACAGTATACAGTACAATAATAGTGAATATAATGGTATTTACAATATAACTGTATACAGTTTAATAATAAACACAGTTTGAATAAACACAGTTTATTATCCATGGAGCTAGACTTTCATCTCTAGGCGAGTGGAAATTCAATCGACATTATGAAGCAGCACATGATTGCAAATACAATTGTCTAATGTTTGTTTATCAGGATTTAATATAAGTGATTGCAATGCACTACAGCTTGTGGCAAAGGGTTCACTGGGAACATATTTTCCTTTGCGTTCGAAATATGACCCTAATTAGCCTCAGTACAATAATTTTAACTATACTGTAACTATTCATATAATTTTAAGCATTAAAGTTTAACATTTATGTCATTAGTTTAGAGGAACCATAGAATCAAGGTAATTTTTTACTGTTACTCATATATTTATTCGGCTTACCTCTACGAAATAGTACTTATGATATATTAATTTATAGGCAATTGTATATACTTTGATGATGTGCACTATTAAATTACATATATTGCTGTTAACTCTACGTGAGACAATCATGACATTGCAAAACACCGAGGAAAAGAAGAGCTAACGTACAAATATTAAACCTACAAATATAAGCACATAAAGATAGCTCAGTAAAACGTGGAAGCGAGAATAAATACTTATTGTTTCATTCGGGCTCGAGAGAAATATTGAATACGACTGTTATCATCAAGAAATTCCAGGGAGATTTTAGCGCGCCTGCTTTAGAATACAACTTGGGTCTTGATGGCTGTCTCATCCAAATTTGATAGAATATTGAGAGAAATTGAGAGAAAATTGAAAATTGAGAGAAAATTGAATTGAGAGAAATATTGAATACGACTGTTATCATCAAGGAATTGCAGGGAGATTATATAGCGCGCCTGCTTTAGAATACTACTTGGGTCTTGATGGCTGTCTCATCCAAATTTAAGATGCGGCGAAAAATAATATAATTAATTATAAAATTGTTGGTTGGAGCTCAACTATTTGCTCTTCTGATCATTAACTTCAGCAAAAGTTCAATGTTTCTGCATTTGAATCGAAAATGTTTGTCTTGTTTTAAATCTCCTTTATTAAGACTATGTGTTTTATTTAAAATATATATCATCAAACTTGTTTAGTCATCCATACACAGATGTCATTTTCAGCCATGTTTTAATGTCCTAAAAAAAGCTTGCATTTTAACACATGTTTCCATCAGTGTTATTTCAGGGTTTTTAGCGCATTTTCTCATTTATGGAAAAAATGCACTATTGTGCTCGCCACGTCCGTCTGTCTGTCTGTCCGTCCGTCCGTCTGTCCGTCTGTCCGTCCGTGACCTCAAGTTTTCGTCGACGAGCAAATGCGCTCTCTGTCACTCACTGCAGTGAGTACTGAGTTATATTTTTATATAATGCAGTTACTCTTCATATCTTTCCTTGCTTTGTACCCACGGAAAAATGACTGAATTTTAACCACCGCATTTACTAGCGAAGCATCATCTTTATCTGTATGATCACCTGAGCCACTCAATTTTTCGTAATTTTTGGCTTCTGAAAATTTAATTTCACAGTTAGTATCTTTAACGTCTTTTGAATTGGATTCAAGTTTTGTCAATAGTGCTTTTCGTACTTTATATCCTCGAAAAATTGACTGAATTTTGATTGCTGCATTCATCATCTGAATGTCTTCGGATTGAATGTCGTGTCCATTCGACTTCCTACGTTTTTCAGTCATCAATTTCCGTCGCGCTAAAAACCCGCGGAAAAATTTTTGAATTTTAATCACGGCTTCCAAACGGGCTTCGTCTACTGACTGGATATTCTCTTTCTTATGTTTCTTTCCTGAATTAAGTTTAATTTTTTTCCTTGCTCTAAACCCTCGGAAAGCTGATTGTATTTTTAGCGCTGCGTTTGCTAAAGAACCATGTTCCGAGTAAACTTCAGTATTTGAAAGCATAGTCTTATTCAGCAGAAATAATCCTTTTCGTACTATAAATCCTCGATAGTACGACTGAATAATAGTAGCTGCTTGAATAACTCTTTTGCGTTCTGATAACAAATATTTTGTTTTACGTGTAGTTACCTTCCTGCTCAAGTATCCACGTACGTGCGCTTGTATTAGTACAACAGCTTTTAACGAACGTTCATCGTACGGACAAAATTTTGCTATCTGTCGCTTCCCTAGTTTTTTCCTCACAAGCCATCCTCTGAGGCATGCTTGTACCTTGATCACCGCATGTATGTCCTCGTCAAGCCATTTTTCTAATTTCTTAGACTTAAGTCTAATTATATAATTTTTGCGGGCTATGTATCTCCGGAATTGTTTTTGTATCAATGTAATTGCTTCGAGAAAGGACCCACCATTAGCGGTAAAATGATAATTTTCCAATTTTGAAGGAGCTGGGCATTTTTTGGCTCTATATTTCCTGAAGTAATTCTGTATCTTAATTACGTTCCGTAATATTTCCCTATCTGATAGTAAGTGATCAAACTTTGGAATACTTCGAACCTCTTTCATGAATCGAATCCTTTTTCTAGTCAAATAGCCTCTAACGTATGATTGAACCACCACTACTGCTTCTAATGCCTTCTGATCATTGGGGTGGATTGCTCGGCACTCCTTGTTTTTGTTAGCTTTCTTCCTGCTCATATATCGACGAAAAACGATTTGGATTTTAATCGCAGCAGCAATCATCTTCCTATCCTCTGAGTTTTTTGCAGTAATCCCATAAGTTTCTGACTTGAGCTTAGTTATCAGGTGCTTACGAAACGCCTTCTGAATTTTCACAACAGCCTTCACTATATCCTCAGCTTCCGATGTCACCTTAGGCTTCACTATCTTCATTGCAGCTCCTGATGTCCTACTCTTCACAGAATAACCCTTTTCAATTGTGCCAGCGGTCGACTTGTGTTTACTTGCCACATACGCGCGGTAGGCTCTCTGTATGAGCACTACCGCCTTTACCACGTCTTCGCCAACTCCAGAAGTGACGTTGAGTTTGTCTAGCGTATTTTCCTTGAGACATGGCCTTCTGCCACGCAGGTTTAGTCGTGCTTTATAACCTCTAAAGCAAGCCTGCAGCACCTGAGCTGCTCGTGCTTCGGTTGCAGCTTCAAGCTTTCCTCCAGCCATTAAATGATGGAAGCTTCCTTCATTTGATGGCCCCTCTGCCGCTACCTGGATGCTCGTGGTATAACTGTTCACGTTCACATTCACAGTGACTGAATCGTCTACATTTCCATCCCATTTCCCATTCTCTGTGGCGTGGTCCTCGTCACATCCATACACTTCCTTCTTCGCTGTGGCTGGATACTCATGATTTCTTTCGATTTCCTCATTACATGCAAGTTGTTTCCGGTCATATTCATTTGCATTGCCAACTTCAACAACAAGACCATTTTCGCTTTTATCGTCTTTCCCAATCACGATAGCTTGATCGTTGCAATTTTTATTCCCGTTTTCAGTCGGTGTGACATCCTCGTTATTTTCATCTAATTTCTGAATTAGAGTAATAATTTTCTTCTCGATATCATCTGCGCTTGCAATAACCGGGTCAGAATGCACACCATCCATATAAATAGTTTTAAATTCATAATAATTATTGCAGGAGATTTTTTCGTTATCCGTCAAATCGGCCGTTCGGCCGGCTCTTATTTTATTAGCCGTGTCTGGGATGGCCGTTTTACCGCCTAATTGTAATCTCTTTCTTTGCCTGCGGTAATGTTTTTGAATGATTATTGCTGCTTTCAGTAACTGCATGGACTCTTTTACGCCCTTCTCACTTAATTTCGCGTACCTTTTTGACGATGAAAATTCTTTCCTTGTTTTATAACCTCTGAAAGCAGCTTGAATTTTAATGACGGCAATAAGAATGGATTCATCTCTTGAATATTTCATCATAACCGGTTTGTTATTAACGCGTATCTCCTGTCGGCCCATGCACCCATTGAACTTTGAATTAATTACTGGTGCTGCCAAAGCCAATTTTGTGTCATACTCTTCGAATTTATTTCTGGGAGACTGATCGTTTCCTGTGCTTATCCAACGACCCTCAGTAACCAAACTAATATTTTCTGATACCATATCTTTTTCATTTTCATTTAACTTTCTCACAAGGCTACATTTTCTCACTCTATATCCTCGAAAATTTGCTTGAATCCTGACTACGGCCTTCAGAAGATCCGGCCGAAAATATTCTCGCTTCACTCGTTTCCTGACCAAGTGTCCCCTAAACCAGGCTTGTATCCTCGTCGCAGCGGCGCTGATATCGTCGTGCCTTATCATGGCACCCTCGTCTATTTTTCCAGAAGTAGACGAAGATTTTTTCTTTGTTGTTTTCTGGCCGCGATATTTTCTGTAGCTTTTTTGGATGACGCGAGCAGCCTCTGTCAACGCTGCGATGGATGCTCGCGAAATAGTCGCCTTTATATTATTTTTTTCTTCAAGTTCGTCATAAGGAGCAATACTGTGCCCGTCTATATCACACATTCCACCGTTACGCTGCATTATCTCAGAAAGTTTTTTAGCTTTATCCATATTTTTTATTCGACTATAATGTAATCGGAAAATTCTTTGTATTTTTACAATTGCTAAAATAGCGGTAGGATTTTTCGCATATTCCAGTCCCGCCTCCTCAATAGCTTTGAACTTTGTTCGTTCTTTTCGATGCTCCCGATAAAATTTCTGAATAATAATAGCTGCTCTCATTTCCCTTTCGTGCTTTTTCGGGTTGTGATCAGCGGGATAACTTTTTTCGAGTTCCTTCCTAAGAAATGATACGTCGTTCCCATGCTCAGGGTCCTCCAGTTTAATTTTCCTTTTAAAATGCTTTCGAACTTTATGCCCTCTAAAAAGACACTGAATAGCGAGGGCAGCCTTCTCAAGCTCCTTCTCATCCTCAGATTTTTTAGTGGAAGTTACACTCTCTGTTATCGGATCAGGCAATGCGCTAACTAAACTAAATTTTCTGACGCAAAAGCAGCCAGAACAGTTAACGGATCCGTGAACTTCAACGGAGTCAACATGTTGTGTTGACTCGACGTCTTTTCCCGGCAGAGAAGCTAGGAACTGTTTATGCTCCTTAAGAAATCCCTCGCGTGCATTATTTTTCGATTCGTTCTCTTCAGAAATGTCATCTATTTTTTCGGGTTGTAATGGGGGGTTTCCATTCCCGGTTGTTTTATTTCGATGGCCCAGGCCACGATTTTTACGAACTAAGTAAGCTCTGTAAACCTTCTGAATGACCAAAGCAGCAGCCATCTCCGGCCCGAACCACTTCTGGTTCTCAGCATTCATGGTGTCGCGACTGGAGGCAAGAACCGAGAGATTCCCAGCTCCGCAACCATTACTGTTATAATGACTCTTGTTTAATTTCTTCCTAATTAGATAGCCTCTGAAAATACTCTGAATTCTAATAGCCGCCGACTCCTGAACTGGCGAGAATTTGTGTGATTTTTTCTTCTTTTTTGATCCCTTTAATTTTTTACGCTCACTAGGCAGCCTGATGTTAAAAGATTTTCTAGCTTTCCTTCCTCTGAAAATGGCTTGAATTTTAATAGCAGCTGACGCCATGTTACTGATCGATTCACGACGTCTAGACTCAAAGCCTCCAATTCGGCATTCATTTTCTAAACGTTTGTGTTCGATTTCCTGCAATTTTCCAAGTCCCCTGTGAAGGAATGAACAGTGTTGCTTTCTCACCAAAAACCCTCTGAAAGCCGCTTGTATCGTGGTAGCTGCCTTCACCAAGTCGCTAGTGAGAAAGCCGTCTCGATACCCATTGACATTCGGTGCAACTAACTCCAGTGCGTTCGCTTTTATGTCTTTCAATTTAACTTGTGCCAAATATCGCCGTATGTGACTCTGCAGGAATAAAATGCTCGCCACGTTTTCTTCGAAATGCTTCATGTCCACACTTCGATGCTTTCCACTCTCGAACGAATGGTTCTCAGGGAGACTGAAACATTGCGGTGCTTCCGTCGAAGGTCCTGAGTTCGGAGCAGCCTGCCAGCGGTGCTCATTAGGAAGCTTCGTAAAAGACTCTGTTTTCGCCAGTTTTCCATTTTTCAAATATGTGCTTCCCGTTGTTTGGTGCCCCAGCTTCCTTACAGCGATGTCCTTTTCCGTCCTGCTTGAGCAGTCCGTGGGTTCGGCCAGAATCTCGCTTGGTATTCCGGCTACTAAAATTCTGTGTCCTTTCGATTTCGCTCTCGGGGCTGCTGGCAGAGACACATGCGCTTGTTCTACTTGGACTTCCTGAAACGTAATAAAAAATAATTTTAAAAAAGCAGTCTTCGGCATATAATTATCAAATCTATGTCACTTTCTTTCAACGTCATTACATAGGCTTTCAAACGATTAAATATTTCATACAGGATTATTTCAGAAATTAAAATAGTTAAATGTATTCCCTAACTACTGAAAATGCATCATCATGTTTCAATTATCATTATTTTGATTTGTGGATCCGGCAGCATCAATTCGAATATAATAAAAATACGTTATAGCAAATTTGTTAGGAAATGGTGATCGATTGCATTTAATCTTTACCAACTTCCACGTCAAGGCATGTGACGGACAAGTCAATTTTAAGTATAACAACATATTTCTTTATTAATGATGCAAGAACATCATCAATGTTCTACATGCTCATTGCGTTGATTTATTACCAACAACAGAACAGTACTCGCAATCATTACCATCGTGAATGCATATAACTTTCACCATGCAGTGGCATTCTATATCAATTTCATCAATCTTTCTAAACCCAACCCAAAAATGTGATTCCCGTGAGTGTCTTAGACTAAACATTCCGGTGAATATAATATGCTAAAAAATAAAAAATTAAAACGTTCCATGTACACACATGACTTCTATTGTGCGGAATTATCAAAAAATTTATTAACTTCATGGCATGCTCGTATTTTCCTCACATGAAAATATGTTGTGCCGTGATAGATATACATATTTGTAAATATATCACGATGTGTATATATCTCTGTATATGTATGCAGTGCGTATATGTTTTTATACGCATATGTATATATACAATTTACATATTTTATATTATGAAAATATGTTGTGCCGTGATAGATATACATATTTGTAAATATATCACGATGCGTATATATCTCTGTATATGTATGCAGTGCGTATATGTTTTTATACGCATATGTATATATACAATTTACATATTTTATATGTATATATACGATCACACAAATAAATGTTCTTCATTCTTCACATCTTTTGTAAAGTTTCTACGTTTCTTTTGTATTCGAATGTGTTTGTAGAATAGAACTGGTAATACATGCATACTTTCCAGCGCATATCCATATTTATTGAGTTGTGAAAGTCTTTGAATAGAAAACTTAACTTTTATTGCAGGAATCGTTAATCCTTGCGAAAGGGAAGTGAAAGTTTCTTGATTAATGTTGATCTTCAATAGTTGTTTTATCTTAGATGATTGTTGCTTTGCTTCTCACTAAAAACTAAACATAATTTCCATTAACTTTTAAAGAATGAATCCAATTTTAGTTTAGAGTTAAACGGTGCTAAATTGAATTAACATAAGTTGTTGAAAATTACTAACTCGATTCATAATTGAAAGATTCTAATATATCTGACATTATCTATCCCGATCAATGGTGACTTAATTAGCTTCAGCTGATGCATGAATGAAGTCAATGAGACATAATCATAATTTCAACGCGTGCTTCACAACAATATCACTGTGCTCGTTAACGATTTGAAAAATAATGGACCAGGAAATAATAAAATACAAAAATATTAGCACAAAAATACATCGAACAAATTATGTTATTACTTGCTTTCAGAATCTCACTCAAAAATTTTGCATTCTGAAAGAGATAATAATTTTTCCCTAAACAAAAATGAAATAATCTTCACAAAACACATGCAAAAATGGAGGCACTCAGCATGCATTGGAACAGTGCTAGCTGCCGCATTGAATCTGAGAACGACGATCTAATCTTCTTAAGACTTCATTGCAAGACTTACATTTCTTTTGGCTGCCTGTAATAACCATTAAGTCTGCGCTCTATGGAGGGCTTTGCTCTCTTCTCACGCGAAACTCCGCAAATTGAGGCAAAAGTTATCGTGCAACATGACCCTAAAGCCCATTGGGCAGGCTGAAGGCGTCCCGCCCCAAATAGAATTTTAAGAACAACGTAATTGACGAGGAAAACTTTCGAAAATGATGTTTCGTGGACCGCTTCGTTAAATACAAAAATACAAGAAGAAAGATTACCGTGAGCAGTGATCTATTTTCTATCAGAACTGGCTCGGCATTTTATAATTTTTGGCAAGATTTGGCTCCTCAACTGCACGGCATCTTTTCAAGATCGTATATAAATAGCCCACGTCGAGCGACTGGAAAAAAGATAAAACTTTTAATTCTATGACGTAAAACCTTATAAATTTCAAGGACCTAAATAAATGCCTCCCGCATTCTTGCAGTTCTTCGCCAGCCAGTCGGAGCCATTGGACCACGGCGGGCGATGTCCCCAGAAAAATGATGTTTCTTTTACAAAGGAAACGTCCGGACAATGGACGACTTTCTTTGGCCTGTAGCGACTTGCGTTCGATTGGAAGCGGCGAAAATTACTGTAGTGAAACTTTATTGAAACATGGCAACTTTATCAGTTAATTTGCTCGTAATTCGTGTCTTTGTTCGAGGATCTGAACTGGTTCTTGCAGGCTTATTGAATTTACAGCTTTTCTCAAATTTCAAATAGTTCAAATATTATATAAAAATTTGATTGCATTATTGCTGGCGACATCTCATACGTGAAATGCTTATAGGAACAAAATTTTCCATAATTTTGCATTGCCTATTGCAAAATGGCTTCAAAAGACACATTACTAAAATACACCATTCATGCATGATCGTCAAAATTATCGTTTTACATTCTTAAATAATAACTATGGAGCTCCCCCTTAACCCTGAAGTGCGATAATACCTTCAACTTTAGCTGTGAATCAGAGCACAAGAACAAAGTGTACAAGCGATAACATTTCCGTCACACTTTGTGTGTATTCAGCTCGTGTTATGCAAGTTTTTTTTTCAAATACAACCAATTAAACTGCGGAACTAACAGCGCCCAGTGGAGTTGTGGAAACCATGTTATGTATGCCAGTTTTGAATGATTGCTTGTGAGTACGATGTTTTAGAATGAATCACACGAGAGAAAAATTGCCTTGTATGTTAAAACAAATTCATAAGGTCAACAACGAAGGATAAAAGTCATATTTACACACAAGCCTTATGGGTTTTATCAGCTGTAATATTTGCCAATGGATCGTTGTCGGTGGAAGTAGCTTTCGTGCATTCAAAAAGCACTTGGTCGCATTCTACACAAGCATCAGCAGCACGAAACTAGTTCAGACGAGCGACATATTAACTGAACTTGTGAATGTGATGACTGAATCCGTGCAGCTATTTGCATGCATTTAACGTGCTTTTATAACAGTGAAAAGCAAATATTATTGCAAATGGAGGAAGGTTCGTTCAGAAATTTCATGAACAGTAGTGAATTCGTAGCACATATACAGGGTTTTCGAAATGAAGGACCCAATTTAATAAATTCGTATTTATCTAGGCATAAAATCAAAATAAATTATTTATACACTAATTGAAAGAAAAAGCTTCAATTTTTTTAACCTATTCAAACGCGGAATTGGGTTGCGGCAGCAACGGCCACTAGAGTTCTCGCGCCAGCTAGCCGCCCTTGAGTTTCATCATCACTTTTGTGAGAAAGCTAATAAGCAACACAAGGCTTTCTGCCTTCTTTAGTTTGCTCAAAGTAAGTCGCAATTTTCAATGCAGCGGGAATTTCGTCTCAAATTCGTTACTGAACCACTTGGCTAGCTGTCGCAAGAACTCCAGAGGCCGTTTCCTCCGCCACCGCCGCCGCCCAATTCCGCGTTTGAATAGGTTATAAAATTATGAATCTGTCGCTTTACATTGGCGTATAAATTATTCACTTGAATTTATACCTAAATAAATACGAATTTATTCAATTTGGTCGATCATTTAGAATAGCCCTGTACTGGTCGTTTGATTAGTACGGATGCTTTAGAGTTTAGACCAACTGAGAGCTTGTCAAATGACTGAGGTATTAGTCATTCCATTAATTTATCAGTGATTTAAATACGATAACAAAAAACTTAGTGCTAAAATTGAGCGATCATATTATTACCAAAATAAAGTTATTAATTAGTTATTAACAATATATTACAAGCATTTAATTTAAAATGGAAAACTTTAGAACCCCACACACGCTAAGATGCTTCGCTCCAACCTCTGCCAGAGGAGTAGTTCGCTTCGTACTTCGCTGCCCGGATTTGGTTTCGTTCCAAAATTTCTCTCGGTCAAAAATGATGAACTTCGGTGAGGGCTCTTCGTCATTTCAACGCACCATTCCCGGGAGAAATGTGTTTGCAGTGCTCAGTTTGTGAAATATTTCCTTGCCCACCACCGCTTGCATTTCAGGAAGGTTTCCAGTTAGGATGCATGTGTCTGTAGCTTGTATAGCAAACACTTGCTTTGTGCATTCTCTCTAATACGAGCGTCTAAAAGTTGCACTTATTCTCGTCTAAGTCACTGGATGGAGCGTGTTAGGAGAAGTAAATTTTAATTAAGCAGTTTTTTATAGATTATTTTTGAATTTTTATTCCAATACCAAATTACGTTTGTTCAACTCGTTAACTTACAGCAATTTTAAGTCGAATTTAGATATCTCAATTGTTATTTAAGAAAGCACATAATTGCTGATGAGCTAATAATGATAGTTTTAATGCCAAATTTCAATTATTGTGTATGATGTACCTTTTGAGGCAATAAGACAGTATTTCATAACGAAAAATATGAATGAATATATAGTATTGTTTTCAAAACTTTGCGCTCCTTCAAAAATTTAAAGGACTCGTAGGAGCTCGTTGTGTCTGCAGGAATCCTTGTGGATCCAATTTTCATTGCAGAGAGTTCGTCTAATTGGATCACTTCAGAGCTTCATGAAAGTTACCAAAAGTTTATGCGCACAAAAGCCCGGCAATGACTGAGTTCTGACGAAGATCGACGTGTGTGCTTCAGAAGAAATTACGGTACGACACAAAAGTTCCGGCAATCGAGGAAGTATTTTGGCCAGGTAGTTAGAGTTCACATCAAAGTATTTTTAAGTGGAAGCTCCAGTTTTGATTGTTAGGTGGAAAGTCACTGCTGCCGCACTATGTGTTCCTCATATTGCCTAGGAACTCTCGACATTCTTTGACGTTCCTTGGGTCAAGCAACTCCGAAGTTAAATAAGTTTGGGGTTTTGCAGTTGCGGCTGTCAGTGGAAATTGTAAGGCAGATAATTAAGAAAAATGTTCCCAACATTGATGGTGAAGACTGGAGAATGTGTCTCTCGCAAAAGATTATTTCACTGATTAAGATTCTTACTCTACAGGAGCTTCAACCCCAGCAATTTTCTTCTTCATTGAAATCTTGTTAGCTGCGAATCCTTATCTCTGCGTATAAAAACAAACAACAAACGAATTCAGATGATGTACTGTTACGAACGAGTGATGGAGTGAACCATCTTACGAACGAGTGACGGAGTAAACCATCTTATGAACGAGTGATGGAGTGAACCATCATACGAACGAGTGATGGAGTGAACCATCGTACGAGCGAGTGGTGGAGTGAACCATCATACGAACGAGTGATGGAATGAATGGAGTGAACCATCGTACGAACGAGTGATGGAGTGAACCATCGTACGAACGAGCGATGGAGTGAACCATCTCACGAACGAGAAATGGTTTGAACCAGCGCATTAGAGATAAGTTACGTGTAAATTTTATAGCAATGAAAATATCAAGTAAATTGACAAAGTTTAAACCAAAATGATTCCGAAGACCAGTTCCATCGTCCGAAACATTATGAGTGCAAGTATAATGAATTGAAAGGGCAAATTAACAAGGAAGAAATAATGACAGAGGATACTTAATATTCTATTACATAATCCTACCACGTCCCTACTTAGAAGTTGTTCAAAGTTTCAGAATATCGTTTTAAAAGAACTTCTAAGTTTTAGTAACACAAGATTTGACAACTTTTAGTATGAGTATTCAAGACCGATTTCAACGCACCGGTTGAATTTGATAGTTCTCATGATTACACTTGTAATATTAGAATATTGAATTGATAATGGAGCCGGCGCGCAGACCCTTTTCATTCAGAATAAAATGAAAATACTATTCGTTTTAAATTAAATTGTTAGCTAATTTTCAATTTTAGCTTACTTATGATATAAATAGTAGAGATGAGTTGATATTGAATATAAATTAGAGTCAGAGAAGAGGTGAAAAAATGCGGCACTGCAATTTACTCGACACAATGAATTTAAACTATTAGATTTCGTCAATTATTTCATTGGAAATTAATTCTTTACCATTATTACGACTATTATTTAATATTTTTTATATACTTTATTCATCTAAGTTATAGATTCATTCATCAATCGAGAAGAAGAAATTGATTACTTTTACTTTACTTACTTTTAGCTAACTGATATTTCCATCATAAATAATTATAGATAGATTATTGTTTCAGATCCATCCTTTTGATTCTCATTGTAACAGTACTGAGTTTATTGATTTTTTATAATCCTTTGAATCTTATTTTTAGTAATCCTGTGGGTGTTGAGTTCACTTTGCGACTGTTTAGTACATTTTTCAAAATTTTTATTATGATGTGTCAAGAACTCGTTAAATTCCGAGACGTTTTCAACTTCCTACGAGAATTTAAAAAAATTTTATCAATTTGAATTGAACGTTGAAGTCCAACATCAAAACGCTGCATGTAACCAGATTATGAAAAACTCGTAATTTCGGGTTTTTGAAAGTGACTCTAAAGCAAACGAATCATGTAGAATGAAAATTATCGTGAAAGTACACTCAGTTTATTATTACATGCTACAATTTAATTATAGTACTGTTGAGGTGCGTTGAGAACGTCTAGTGGCATACGTTTTTCGTGATTCAAAAAAAAACAAAGTATTGTTAAATATGGTATTAAATCCTTCTGTGAACCAAATTCTACATAAACAATTCCCTGTTAGATTTAAAATTAATTTAATGATGTATTATATAATTGAAACAAAGATTATGTGCAGTGGCTATTCCATAAATTGCATCAAATTTTTTTCAATTAGTGAACAGGATCGCTGGGAGTTTCATCGATGAGTGAGCCTAATGATTTGTACTGCCTCTGATTTTTGTTCATATCTTCAAGTGGTAAAAGTTCCTCTTATACTACAGAGCCGGTTGCGGACTCGCATATTTAGTGACACGTATATTTGTGCTCAAGTTTCCTTTAACATTAGTCGCTAACAATTACAATGAGATTGAATTTTATTTAAAAGTGTGTTTTGCATATATTTCAACGGTGTGGGATTTTTTGCCTTGAAAGTCATGAACACAATTTTTATCCTTAGAAGAAGAAAAATCCTAGAAAAATTTTTTACCGGCTAATCAAATATTACAAGAAAATGACATTCGTTTGTCTTCGCTGCTTGCTATTCATTTCAAGTTCTCGACCGATAACATTAAGTTGTAGAAAAACATTTTTCAATTTCCATTAAAATACCAAAATTTCCTGTAAAATTATCCTAAGTTACATAATTTTTGTTATAATTAGAGTGGAAAAATATTGATACTAATAAATACTCTAACTATATATCGTTTACAGAATGCCTGTGCGGTAGCAATTTAGACATTGAATCCGATTATATTGATATGCAATCTACGAGTGGACACTTCGGAGATGACTTTACGCAGATTTGACCACCAATAAAACATTCTTTTACTTCGAGTCATCGTCGCTTTTGCGGACAATTTTCCGGATGTCGGATTTTACATCGCGGAAAAATTCTTTGAATCCGTAGTTGTCGATGCTTCTATTCTTGTTCTGTGGTTGTAAAAATATGTGGTGCAACGACTCGTAATGACGAAATTCCCATTTCCAAGTTGGGACACAATTTGTAGAAATGATGAATATAAATAAAAGGATAAAAATTAATAAACAAATCGATAAGAGTAATAAAAAAATTTAAAAAATAAGAAGAAATGGAATGCAAAATAAGATCCATTATATTGTGATAATATATAAATGCAAGCGTGCAATACATACGTACGGTTGAAGCCCGGAGAGAAGCATGGAAAGCATGAAAAATTTGATGAAAATAACATCCGAAAATTCCAATAAGTCCTTGGCACCAAGGCGTCGTCTATAAGCATAAAATTCTAGTAAAGGCAAGTAAGTACGACCATTAGAAATTATAACAATTGCTTATTAGCATAAAAATTTCTACTGCAAATTTTCAAAAAAGAAGCCAAGCACTAATTACAAGAGAATTAACGAAACTCCAAATCTCACCTAAATTATATAACCTGGAATAAAATATTAGCGAAATAAGTAATATTAGCAGAAGTAAGCTTGGAATTACACTAAGCCTCACATTTAATAAGCCAATTCCACTTATTCCAATCCAACAGCATATAGAGATAGTATATACTAATTATAATTACAGGAGCGTGCAATTCCAAATCAAACACTGCAAGTGAAATCACTTGCAATGAGTAAAAGCACAAATAAAAGCCATAGAATTTGTATCATTAAGCAATCGGGAAAATTTTTCAGATAAACCACTATATACATACATATATACGGCAATCCAGGTGCGATATAGCAGAAAAATCATCGGTGAAATACAAATTTGTTGTTTAGAATTTGATTGCTTTCAAATAGTTGCAAACAATCAAATTGTTGCAATTATTTATCCCACACAATAAAATGTACGCACAAAATAAATACACGCGAGTTTTTAATGGTGAATTATTACAAATTATTGCCGGCGTCAGTGCGCAATTGAGCAAATGTGGTACGAATTGTTCAATTTGTGAGTTACGACGATGCATAAACTGCTATGGATAAATGAAATATCCCTATTCAGTTTTTAAACCTTCGAATTCAGACTCTGATAAAGAAAGATGAAAATGTGTTGCATGGACTCGCACATTAATTCAACTCGAACGCTTCTCCGGAGATAAAATTCGAGATTTTTATACCGGCTCCCTAATCACGTCATTCACTAGTGCATGCAAATGAGCATATCATGAAAATAAAAATGAAAAGCTGATATATCTGCGTACCCTGTCAATGAGCGTTTGAATTATATATCCTTTTTTACTATTGATGTCTTAAGATAGATAGATGCCTTAATATTAAATATTGGCTTTGTTCAGAAGGCCCGATATTGTGCTTGCAAAAGTTTTCGGTAGACGTGTGCCACAGAGAATTTTAATTACATTAAATAAATGGCAAGATGGAGAACGCATATAACGGCAAATTTTGAAGAACAAATAAGGAAACAATTCGGTTATGTGTCGTAATCTAAACGAAAAGCCCGACTCAACCTTGGCCACTGAAACGCGACTGAAAGCTGCTGCAAATCGCACTTTTATTTGCCAAAATATCCAGACATTGTAGAATATCGCGAGTGACTAGCGATAGTAGTAACAATAAAGGGTTGTGAGTTGAAAATAAAACCTGTTTACATAAAATTATTTTATGAATGTTTTCCATTGTGAATGTTTGGACTGGTTCTCCTTTATGAATGGTTCAGTGATCAAATTTGCATGTTTCGTCGGCTGTTGATTTTAAGGAACGATTTGATGACTGTAAAACTGTTTATTAGATGCTTTATCACTGGTTGTTTAATAATTTGCAGGAACTGATATCAACAGTTTGAGCTATCACATTGTTCTTCATTTGCGTTTGTCCTTCTACAAACGCTGATTGTGTTCTTCGTCAGCGCTTAAGTGCCTTCTGCGTTGTGTTCTTCATCAGCGCTTGCCCTTCTGCATTGTGTTCTTCATCAGCGCCTGCCTTCTGCATTGCGTTCTTCATCAACGCCTGCCTTCTGCATTGTGTTCTTCATCAGCGCCTGCCTTCTGCATTGTGTTCTTCATCAGCGCTTGCCTTCTGCATTGTGTTCTTCATCAGCGCTATCTCCCTACGAGGGGATCATTATAATACAAAAGAGGATTCTCTACCTTCCCCTTCTTGTGTAGAAGGTCGCGCAGTCATTTGCAAGGGCATTACCTCGGGGGAGAGGGATCTTCAGACAAGACTAGACCCTCAGTCAGGACATTTAATCAAGAACGTCAAGACCCTCAGTCATGACTAAACCTTCAGTCATGAATAGACCATCCGTCATGATTAGACCTTCACCCTCTCAGTCAAGTCAGCTCCACGCTTTTAAACATAGAGAAGGCGTTGAAAAATGACTAGTACAGCTTCTAATGAAGCTCTTGATTTCTTTTTTTCGACGATATTAAAACTAAAGACAATAGATTTTGCATTGAAGACAAACTCTGAAACTAGATTATGGATCAGAGAGCAATGCTCATTTGCTGTTTAATTGCATTTTCAAGAAGAATTAGAAAGAATTGATATAAAATCTCCTGCATTCTAGGTATTAAAACAGTATTTGCTGAATATATCAAATCTTTCTATATTCAGTATTCAAGCCGAGGGCGCCTAAGCTCTCAGTTTCACCCAGAGCAAATCTGCATGGAGTGAAGACTAACTATGAAGTGGTTTGCTGAATAACAGCTGAGTTAAGGAACGTGAATTCAATTTATCGATGTGTGTTGCTGTTCAAATAAGCTTCTATTTTATTTAAAATTGTTCCTTAGGTTTTACTTCGATACGAGCGTAGTCCCAAATGGAACCCTCGAGAGACTATGGAACAAGATTAAAGAGAAATTTCGTTCACTTGAAAATGTTTTCCGCAGTATCGTCTGTTGGAACAGCAAGGCGATATGTTTGTAGCCAGGCATTGCCGTATATATTGTGATGGTCTTAAAGCCGCCGCTCTGTTTAGTTGCGCTCGATGACTTTGCTCCAAAGAATCATCTACTATGTTAGTCTTCACCTCTCGATCATGCCAGATTAGAGTTATCCAAGATTATCTAAGATTAATGGCAGCACTACTTCTCAATGACCTTGGATTAAAGTTTTCTGATATAGTCAAGATTATATACGGAACAACGTTTGTCAGATTCAAACGATTCAAACTCAAATCTGTCTATATTACCGACCCTGACAACTCACGTCCTAGGGGCTGTCAATCGACCGCTTCGCAGCAACGCCTCCGGACTTCACTTGCAGAAAGCGTGAGTCTGCATCGTCTCAATAATATATTAATATTATATAATATATAATATTATTATACCGCCATGTAAAAATCTTAACATTTTGTTAATAAAATGTTATTTATCTGTCCAACGTTTCGAAGTTTCATGATCGAGAAATCAAGAGCAACAAATGTGTAGAGCTTCTAAATAAAGTCTAGGCAGCCTGCTGCAAACAAATTTTTTAATATATAACAAATTTTTAGAAATATATAAAAACGGCCAAAGTCCTATATAACTCTTACTTACTTTGAAGCATTTTTAAGTAGAATTCAAAGTTTATTTTTTAACTGGGCATCTTATGAAACCAGAACTTTGTGTTTAATTAGGCTGAGGCGCACGAGAGTTTATAATGCTATATAAACTATATGTATTGCTATATAAAAAAAAACTATATATAAGCACAATGCTATTTCATTCTTGTTATGATGGTGAATCTCACCTCATGACTAATACCATGTCAGAAATATAAAAACTGTTCACGAATAAGTATTTCATAGACCGATCAAGTGGCAATTAAATTTTTAGTAATTAATTTGAATACTTTTTTATTTTGAAAAGCTTCATCCCAATAACCTGCATATTCATGTTTACTAGCTCAACCACACAGAGTAAGTTAAGATAACAAAGAATGTGGAAAGTGACTTTTCCAACAATATAACAGGATATTCCGATAAAGAATGTGGCTATATAGTCTCATATTGAACGTTATTTTGCAATTTTGCATACGAAAAATATTGTGATCAGCTGTACGGATTTTATTTACTTCATCGTTTTTTTTAGTTCCCATTTCTGAAGCCGTAATTCCATTCTGAAAGTTATCGCATTTGTCAAGAACCAATTTTTCGAAAGGATTCATATGAAATTAGCGTGAACACTGAAATTGAGATTGTAATTTATCTCCTTCACCTGTTCAAAGGGTAATATTTCCAAGTGCGGGCCTGAGTGGCCATCAAACGTTTACATCCCTTTGAGCTGCAATTGGAAAAAATAGTCAAGTATCAATGGATATTGTCAAAAGTCATCACTTAAATATTGAAGAATAAAAATTCAGTAGAAAATACCATTCAAAGAACTTGTAATTGAAGGCAGCGTCTGATGCATGCCATGTTTTGAGGCTGGATTCATGAGGCGAGAGGGGGCGAAGTTTTCCAATATCATCTAATACGAGTCTCGCTTCTATGAGAAATACCTGAATGGATTCATTTAAATGGTGAATATTGGTTCGCCTTGCTAGTAAACATGAACTGAGAGATTCTCGAACTGCTTAAAATTATTGTTGTTGCGAACGCTTTTCAGTGAGCAATTACGAGGGAAATAAGCTAATGTGTGTGGCTGTGATACCTGTTTTATCAATCATTGGAATTCAAAGAAGGATCGCTGAATTTTTTTCTGCTTAATTTCGGATATATTCATAATAAAGGCACAAAGAGGATTATATGGAATTTCCGGTTTGAGTAAAGTAGAAGAACTTGAAATAATCTGCTCTCAACACGTTCTACGGTCCTAGAGAGATAATAGACAATGTGGGTGAGATACGAGACCGGGGGCTACGAGACCGGAGCCTCCAGTACACAGGTGAGTTTATTGCCATCCAATGAAACGTAAATAAATATTAAATTTGTTATGACTATTGTTATGGCTATCGCGAGTGCAGAATTATGTAGAGTCGTCAACAAAATAAACAAATAAATAGATTTTAATTTAATC